CTCAGATTCCTCTGTGGGAATCTACCAAGTAAACTTATAAAACAAGGAGGGTGGAGAACGGCCCGTGAGTTGCTATTTCAAAAACCATTGGTGTCTTGTGGCTCTTGTGCATGTCCTTATGTTGCCTGTGGGTCCTAGGGGCAGCCCGCAGCTTGTTGTAGTGGGCTTCTCCACCTGGTTTCCGAGTTATGCCAGTCTTTCCAGCGTATGCTGCCATCTCTTAGCTCTGTCACTTTGCCTCCCACCAGCCAAACTTTGACAAACCTGGAGAGGATAGTATCCTGCCTCCCGTCGTCCTCGGGCAATGTCTGTTTCGTTCTGTGCCACCTGCATAAGATCTCCGCCCGAATCAGTGTCCTGGTTTCTGCCCAAACCTTTTCTCTTGGCATTGGTAATCCTTCAATGGGCTTCGGACCTCTGGAACTCCCTGTTCACTAAGCCCTTCCCTGAACACTCCATCCAACCTTTCCTCTTTTCTAGTTTTTGCAACATTCATAATTCCTTGTCAAAGACTGTATTCAGGACAGCCCAGAGAATTTCCCTGCTTCATGCTCTCGGGGAAGTGGTAGTAATCCCAACGCAAAGCAGGGTAGGGAAACTCTGCTGACTGCTTGGAATCTCCTTTTTGGCAGCAAATCCCGACCCCAACCGGGGTAGGGAAACTCTGCCGAAATTTTGGCAGCTCGCAATCACTCAAATTCCTGCTTAGAACCTCCTTTTTGGCAGTAAATCCCAACCTCTAGCAGGGTAGGGGACCTGCCAAAGCTTTACCAATTCAATTAGACTCAGATTCTCTCCAGTTGTCAGTCGATCAACCTTTCCAGTCATGGGGTCCCTCCAATCTCAAGCAACTGAATGAAGTTCACAAAATGCAATCCCAAGATCCAGAACACAAAGCGAACAGGATCCGAGTCAGGAAGTCCTGAATCTAATGGTCAAGGAGAAACAGGCCAAACAAGTGGTCACTTAAGAAGTCCATCTCCTGAATAGCTTATTCCACGACCGCCTTCAATGTCTCAGTGAATCAGTGGTCACCACATCTACCAGCTTCTTGTTAGCCTAGCCTCGAATTTGCCGGACAACTTATCAACCCTCTTGCACAGCGGGTCCAGTTCGTGATGGAGGGCATAGAGCTCATAGCGGAGCTCAGCAGTGAAACAAACCCTATTTCTAGGGGCCAGGTTGTTATATGGAAACTCGTAACATTGATCATCCTGAGGCTCACCTCTCCTGTCATCACGGTCTCTCGATAGCCTTCTCCATCTGTGCCTACAAGATGATGATGTGGATCTCGACCTTCTTCCTCCCCATGTCTAGATCTCTCTTTCGTAAATCGCTGTGGTGATCGGTCCGATCTCCGCGCTGGTGATTCCTTCCTCCTTGTATCCATCGCTTCGCCTCCTTCAGTCTGGTAACCCGGAACGTGATCTTGGACATGATCTTCTCATACTGCAGTAACAGTGCAGCACTTCGCCCTGTGATGGCGATTCCGAGTTGCGCGTTACTTCAGCTCCACGTAGGCCACAACCTCGTACACTCCCCTTGTCTGCCTACACAAATAGAATCTCGCACAACGCTGAGACGTGCACTGATATCTCATCACACTGCTGTCAGGCATGATGTTTCATTGAAAGATAAACGCCTCTGCTGGATAAAGGATGGAAGATAACCTGAAGTGCAGTATGTGGCTTCGCCGTTCAACCACATCCCCTTGATCGTACAGAGGAAAAACTCAATATACCACTGCTCCATGAAAGGTAGTAAGCGCTGAAAACAGCATCACCAATGCTCAACGCTGATGTGAAATCCACACGCCACTTCCATATTCAGAAATTTATTAATAGTAGTAGTAAATATTAAATAACCACGGCTGCTTGAGGTTCTGCCTCCGTGACATGCAACTTTCCGTGTATGCTCCTCCCACTTGTGGGCCCAGTACTCACCACACCTGTCAACAGCGAGGAGATGGCAAAACTAACTCCTGGTGAAGGGAACTTCCCCACGAGGACTGCTTATTGACCACTATGGGTATGATCTCCAGCATCCTCAAAATAAGCTGCATGAAAAAACAATAGTAAATTGTAGCACAATATGTGAGGCTTCTCTCATGTGGAGGACATAATGTGCCAAATAGCAGAACTGGAGTTTTTGAGTGAGCGCTCCAGCATCGCCCTTCTGCCTCGTCCACTCAGGCGACGTATCTCATCTCTTAAATAGTTGTGCCCCATGCACTCCCTATACTCAAGGTTTTTCATCCTTCAGTCATCAATCCTCCTCCTTCCAGCGATCACCGTCAATCTACCCATACACCAAGAATAGAAACAATATATGCTTACCGTGTACTTGGGCCAGGTTTCAGGTTTGAATCCTGCCTGAGCTGAACAGGTAGTCTGGCTGGACATCCAGCAAGCCTGGGCTGTCCAGGCTCAGATCTGGAAATCTGGGCCCAACATTGTGCCGGACAACATGTCTGTTAAGATGCCCGGGGCCAGAATTTCTTGTAGTTTTCAAGTTTTCCAATAATGTTGAGTGAGATTGAAATACAAGCAACTTTTGGCTGAGGGAACCACTCAATATGAAAATGACAAGAAGGAAAGTAAAGCATAAACGCACTTCAACATATCCCTTCCGATGCGTGAGCTGAACAGGTAGTCTGGCACGGTACCAAAGGAGGGGTTTGGAAAAAGGGGGCCAGGCCGAAAACGGGATGCAGCCGAAACAGCAAAAAGATAGACCAGGGATCGAGCCCTGGCGAAGTCCGTAACACTATCCCCTCCCTCTAGAAGGCAACGTCCCGGCTGCCAAAAATCATGAAGCAATGCTGAAATCTGTGAAGGACGGGACGGGGCCGATCGCTGGTTAACAAGTCGAAAGGGAAGAGGGGTATAATGCGGGTGGCATGGGCTGCGGGAGTAAGAGGGAACAGGGTTTGGTACTGGTGAACAGAGTTGTCCTACTGATGAACTAGGGGGGGTTGCAGGGAACAGGGTAGTCCTACAAATGAACTAAAGGGACGGCATGGTTTGCTATAGGTTAAGGGGGAACAGAGTTCAGGGAACAAGGAACTTCTATTGGTGTTCTACTGGGTAAGGGAAACGGTGTTCAGGAAAACAGGGTATTTCTATTGATGTTGTAGTGGGTAAGGRAAACAATGRTCAGGGGAACAGGGGATGTCTATYRATGTTCTAGTGGGTACGGGGAACAATGGTTAGGGAAACAGGGATCTGCTAATGATGTTCTACAGGGTTGTCAAAGTCAGGAAAAATAAAAATGAAAATGTTTCTTCAGGATGCAAGGGCTGGTGTGTCCGAAGGAGTCGGAAGCAGAATCTCATGTAGGAACGAAGTGTCCAAGTGTCTTGAAAGGGGGCTTGCAGCGGTCTTGATCAGGTCTTTGGAGTAGGTGGTAGAAGCGGCCTTCAGCGGCTGCGACAGGTTGAAGTCCAAGAAGCATAGTAGTAGTTCAAGTGTCAAAGTCCAAGTGCTAGGGTGCATCTGGTAGACGAACTGCAATTAGGTCTGATCTGGAAGCAAGGAAGTCGCAGACTGATGCAAAGATCCATGTCACAAGTTGCTGCTCCAGTAAGTCTGTGAGTCGGGATGCCGACCGATGAAACAGCATGGCCAAACCAGCTGCGTAATCTCCATGAACAGTGAGGCAGCAGGCCATTGTCCTCGTGCGCGAGCCATTAGATCCTTTATCACCGGCATCACGTAGGTTCACAAGCATTGGACAAGAGAGACAAGGTAGTGGAGAGGACAAATGGGACAAGGCTAGGCGAGGGCAAGGGCAGATCAGACATCAGGAGTGAGGGTCAAGGGGAGGGTGGACTGGGTTCAAGGGTGTGTGTAGAGCGGGGTTGCGAGGTTGTAGCAGGGTTTATACAGGGGTTTAGGGTTGGATTGCGAGAGACAGGGGGACAGTGTTCAGGTGGAGGGGGGCCCGGCTGTCGCGGTGGAGGAAGAAGCGGAAGTAGAAGGGCCGGGTCCCGTGGAGCGAGGGGCCTGTCGAGTAAAGTGGTTAGTGTTGGGGCAGTTGGTTTGTTGATGACCTAACTGGCCGCAGCGAAAACACCCGTTGTGTTCCTGGAGGTATATGCGTTTTGTGGGTGTGAGTTTCTGGAGGCGACGGGGTGGAGAGGAAGAAGGCAGTCGAGAGGCACGATCCTCGCGTTCCATCTGTATAAGGTGGGCGGTCTGGAGGTCCTCAATGGTGAATTGGGAGGGGTCGAGAGAGGCAGTGCCGAAGTCGTCATCGGAGGTGGGTTGAGTGGTGTCGTTATGGAAAAAGAGGGGGCCGGAGGGAGCAAGCGCGGACTAGTGATGGGGGTGGAGGAGTCGATCGTGGTGAAGCATGCGAGAGAGGAGGTCAGCAAGGGGCATGTCGGGTTCGTGGGCGAGGGCGGTTGCAAGATCTTTGTGGCATACTCGCTTGATGCGGGAGATGAACGCGAAGTCGGGAATGACGGTGGTAGGGAGGTGATGGCGGAGGGAGCGGATCTATTGGACATCGTTCCGTGGGACCGGTCTGGCGGAGGTGACAGAATTGTTTGAGGTCGTCATCAATGGTTTTCTGGGGGCGGAAGGTGGCAGTGAGAAGTTTGGCCCATTGGAGGAAGGAGTGACGTGGTCCTCCGGAGGCTCGGTGGTTGCTGACTTCAGGCATCCACCAGTTGGCGGCATTGCCGAGGAGGCGCGAGGTGGCAATGGGGAGCCAGTGGGCAAGGGGCATGTGGTGGAGGTGAAAAGAGTTATGGAGCTGGGTTAGGACGAGGAAAACGTCCTTGTGGGGGAGGCCGGAGAAGGACATGATTTCGCCAGATCGGATGGAACGGGGGATTTCCCCGTTGCGGGAAACGATCTGGGTGAGGGTGTTGACGCTGAGGTTATCGGGGTGGTGTCGTAGCAAGTGTAGTCGAGTTGGTTGTTGTCCTCAAGGAGGTAGTTGGGGGGGAGTTGTGGCATTGCGGGGTAGACCTCGGAGGTGACTTGGGAATAGGTGGGACGAATGGTGGGGATGGTGGGGATGGTGGAGGTCGTCATGATGGGTTGGGGAAGGGTATGGGAGTGCGGGGGGGGGAAGAGGGGTGACGTGGGGGCGAGGAATGAGGCGGTGTGCTGGATGCGCCGGATGAGGGAGGAGGTGGGGGGAACGCAACGATGGTGGAGGTTGAAGGGTTGGTGGATGTGGTGGTAGAGGTTGTAGGAGTGGAGGAGGTTGGCGGGGGGGTGTTGTTGGAGGCGGTTGTGGAGGAGGGAGTGGTTTGCGCTGTGGAGGAGGGAGGTGCGGCCGTGGTGACGACCGTGATGGAGGGGTTGTTCCCTTCGAGCGTGGTGATGCGGTCGGATATGGATGACACGGTGGCCTTTATGTCGTTGAGAGAGGCGGTGATGGAGGTTTGGAGGGTGTTCAGTGTGTGGAGGATGGCGGAGAGGTCGGGGGTGGTGGTGTTTGCTGGTGGTTGTTCGCCTGCAAGGTTGCGGGTGATGCTATCGACCGAGTCGGTGCGTATGTCAGACATGTTGATGGAGGATGCGGTCATGTCGGGGGAAGAGGGCGTGGAGGACGCGGCCGGAACGGATGTGGAGGATGCCGCAGCAGCGATGGCTGAGGCGACGACTGTGAATGAGGTGGAGGCAGGCACTGCGGCAGCAGCGGTGGCGGCGGCGGTGGCGACTGCGCGTTGGGAGGTCTTGGATTGGCGTGGTGGCATGTGAAGATTTGGGAGTGGCAGGGGGTGGGGGTGGGGAGGGTATTTACAACATTGATTGATTTATTCAAAAATAAATAAAGGTATTTGCAAAAACAATAAAGGAATAAAATGGGAATTAATTCAAAATAAATTATTCCGATTCGGAGTAATTTATTTGAGATTAATTCGAAAATTCAGAAAGGATTTCGTAAGAGAAAAGTTGAAAACACAAAATTTTCAGGAATGAACTAAATGCTGAAAATTTCAAAAAAAAAAAATAATAATAATAATAATTAATTTTGAGAGATAAATTTTGGTTAAATTTATTCGAAATGAATTTTGGGGTATGAAAAGCATGAAATTTCAAAAGGAATAAGTAAATTTATTGTTGAATTTCGAAAATGCGAAGAAAATGAAGTTTAATGAACAGAAGCGAAATGACAATATTCAGATTGCACAGTCACATTGAAAGCCAAATCGTATCACAGTGTTCAGAGAGCAGCATTGCACCAATATAACACCAATGGAGAATCGTAGCACTGAAAGTCAATGTCAATGAGAGCTTGCTCTCGCCACCACCAACATATGTATCCAGTCTCTATCTCCCTACTTTGCGCTCAACGCCCAGCCTACTCCCTACACAGCTACTACTAGCCTACAAATTGACAATGCAATTGTTGACGTCAGCAGCACCCATGCAAAACCATCGCCAATACCAGGTATGTGCCCTCACATCATCATCATCATCATCCTTCTCTCTCTCCCTTGACTCTCTCCCTTGACTCTCTCCCTTGACTCTCTCCCACGTCTTCCTTTGTTGTACACCCGAAGACCACCCCTGCGCCTCACTGTACATCCAAGCCCTGCAAGCTATGGGGGTTGGGCTATGGCGCTGCCCTCAACAACGCCCTGCTCCCTGCACGACCGCACGTGCCTGCACCTCGCCGCTCATCGCTAGCAGCAGCCCACGAGCTTCAGCTCCAGCAGTGTTGTCGCCAGCATGTGAGTGCCCGAATGGCTGGCCAAGCAGCGAGCTCTTTCCTATATGGAAAGAGCCTGCCTCATTCGGCAGCCTGGCTGGACTGGCCTGGGCCCAGAAGCTTCCGGTAGGCCGGGGATGCTGCGCCTCTGGTGTAGCTACTGGGCCTCATTCGGTTGGGCCTCCCAACTGTCTGTGTATGAGGCTGCGAATCTCGCCCAGGGCCTGTGCTTTCAAAAAGGCCTAGAAGGCCTAGGAATTTCCACGTTGCTCGGCCTGTGTTTCCCTTCAACCAACTGGCGCGACGAAACTGCCTGGACCCCGAATGCGAAATTGGCAGCCAAGGGCCTCTCGTGATTTGTTAGGCCCGCCTTCACTTAGGGCGGGCACATATGTTGCAGGGGGACCCTTAGGCCTGCCGAGGACCCATATCCTCGCATTCCTTCCTCCTGTACTTCGATAGTCTTCTGGGAAGTTTTCTATTCCGCAGCCATCTTCCCTTTAAGATCTCTTTCATAGCCTGCAATGACTTGAGGTGCAGTTCTCATGAGTTCTTCTTTGGTGGACCACTGATCTTCGCTGGGGTCCAGGTGATGTCTGAATCTGACCCGGTACTGCATTTTTGGCTTAGGAGGCGGCCTCTGCCCGGTGGTCAAGGAACTAGCATCAGACGATGCTCCACGATCTGGTCTATGTCCACTTCGCCATCCATGGTTGGGGGCAGCATTGATCTCCTGGAGGGAAACTGATATGTGGCAGCGAAAGGTGTCAGCTGGGATGCATGGAAAACAGGGTAAGTACGCAAGTGTGGAGGAATGTGAATCGCGTATGAAGGCCCATCCGGTTGATCCCCTACAATGTCTATGATCTCCCAGGGCCCAAAGTATTGTGGCACCAGTTTTCGTGAAATCCCCATCTCCTGACCCAGTTCAGAGGCCTTTACCCAGACTCTATCACCTACCTGAAAGTTAGAGAGCCGTGTATGTTTATTCTCAGATGCGATCATAGCATCCTGAGACTTCGTAATATGTTCAACGGCCTGCTGCAGCATCTGTTCATACTTGACAGCAAACTCTATGCCGCCAGGTGCTGCAGTGGGTTGCCTTTCTGGTAGTAGAAAGTCAAGTGCACTTCTGGGCTTCCAACCAAGATGCAGCTGGTTGGGAGTCATACCAGTAGTACTGTGCGCAACATTGTTGTACAGGCTGGCGACGAGAGGTAACTTCTCGTCCCAATCATCCTGACTTGGCTTAATATAATGTCGAAGCAGGTGCTGTACTACCCGGTTCATCTGTTCTGCCTGGCCATTTGACTCAGGGTGGTTCCCTGACGTCATTTGGAGCTTGGTACCCATCTGTTTAGCTGTCGTTTGCCATAGTTCCCTGGTAAACCTTACATCCCTGTCGCTTACTATCGACGTAGGTAGTCCAAAATCCCTGACCTTGTTATCCAGAAACAGTTTGATGACATAGTCGGTTTTAGCAGTTTCTGGCATAGCGATAAGTCTTGCATACTTAGAAAAGCGGTCCACTATCACGAAGATGTGCCTTTTTCCAGACCTGCTGGTCATAAGGGTATCCATGAAATCCATTGACACACTCTGACCAGGACCTTCAGGAATCGGCAAGGGTTTGATGAGCCCAAGCGGAGCCTGAGTCCTGGGTTTGTCCCTTTGACAAACCTGGCAGGTTTTAATATACCTTTTTGCATCTTGCATCATAGTGGGCCACCAAAACTTCTGCACTAGATTAGCTGAAGTTTTTTTATAACCAAAATGACCAGTTGCATCATGACGTTCCCCTAAAAATAAACTACGCAAAGACTCACTTTTGGGAACACACAATCTCTTATTCTCTGCCTTCTCAAGAAACAACAAGCCATCTACCATTGTAAACTCATCCAAAGTCTTTTTGTCCTTTGCTTGGAATCTACGGATGATCTGAGACATAACTGGATCTTGGTGATAGGCTTCTGCCAATGATCGAATTAAGTCGTTGGATATACCAAATTCTGTTACTAGTGCGCCCTGATAATCTGCCCGACGAGATAGTGCATCAGCTACTTTGTTGTACTCACCCTTGATTGGATCAAGTTGATAATCATACATGTCTATTACTTGTATCCATCGTTTGAGTGAGTAGGAGAGTATTGGCTGTGTCTTAATCCAGCGCAAGGTCTCATGGTCAGATCTCACATAGAAGAATCTGCCAAGGAGATGGTGTCTCCAATGTATTAGCGCTCTATACAGGGCATAGAGCTCACGCTCATAAGTGCTTGGCTAGTTTCTGAGATGACATCTTCTTACTCATGTACTCGATAGGTCTCAACTTGGGCCCCTCCTTTTGCGCAAGGACCGCGCCTATGCCATATTGGCTGGTGTCTGTGGTCACAACAAATGGCTTATCAGGATCGGGAAGTTTAAGAACCTCATAGTGGGTGAGAGCATACTTCAGTTTCCTGAAGGCCGATTCACACTCTTCAGTCTACTCCCACGGGGTGTCCAGTCGAGTTAGATTTGTTAATGGGGATGCTATAGTACTATAGTTCTTTACAAACGAATGATAGTAGCCCGTCATCCCCCAAAATGATCTAACCTCAGTAACAGTCTGAGGTCTGGGCCAGTCACGTATGCTGGCCACCTTAGCATCATCCGACCTCAATCCATCTGCTGAGATTTCATGACCCAAGTACAAGATCTTGGTGCGACCAAACTCTTTTTTCTCTAAGGTAACCTTGTACTGGTGCTGTCTTAGGAGACCTAGCGCTATTTTCAAGTGCTCAACGTGCTCCTCTACAGTCCTACTAAAGATAAGAATATTGTCGAGGTACACGATGATAAACTTGTCTAAGTACTCGTGAAATATCATGTTTATCACGTGCTGGAATGTACCAGGTGCATTGCATAGGCCAAAGGGCATCACCACAAACTGGTACAGACCGTACCTGGTCTGAAATGCGGTTTTGCGCTGGTCCTAAGGTCTAATGGCAATTTGATGGTATCCGGACTTCAAATCTATCTTGGTGAAGTACCGACATCTCTACACTCTATCCAAGAGGTCATCGATGCGGGGTAGGGGCTCCGCGTTCTTAACAGTGATGGCATTGAGGCCCCTATAGTCAATGCACATCGTCAGGGTACCTCCCTTCTTTGGGACAAATAGAACGGGCGCACCGTAAGGGGAGGTACTAGGCCGAATCCATCCCTTTTCTGTGAGCTCCTTAAGCTGGCGATGGAGCTCATCCAACTCCGCTGGAGACATCCTATAGATTTGTCCTCTAGGTACCTTACTACCTGAGACAACCTCTATTGCGTGGACCACCTCCCCTTCTACCACGCCTGTGGGCTCCTCAAAAAGGTTTGAATATGTTGTGACGACTGATTCTATCTCTGGGGGTGTTTTAACGGCCTCCCCTTTCTCAGAGACAAAGACTAGATACATGCCCTCCTCGCGATTCTGCTTGTAGTAGTTATAGAAAGAGGAAGCACACATGTAGCCGTAGTTCTCCACTAGACTGCTAGCCTTATACTTCTGCAATCTAACGGTCCTACCATTTGGCAACTTGTGTATCAACACCTTCCTATCCCAATCAAACTGAGGTTGCACGACCTCGAGGTAGTACATGCCTAGTAGCATATCAAAGGGCAGTTCGTCTCTAACGAGGAATGAGATTTTATGTCTCACTTCCCCTCCTCCATAAGAGAAGGAACGGACTACGTCCTTGACATAGTCTTTAACTACCATTTGGTGTTTGTTGGCTAGCGTAGAAGCTACAGTTTTGCTAAGCCGCTGCACTCGGTCGCCTAAGCGCAGTCTATCCACACAAGCACGACTGATGAAGTTTCGTGTAGAGCCTATGTCTGCGAAGGCGCCAACTTTGCGGCCACCTACTCAACCCCTACCACAAAATGTTCATCCTTTCGAACTCTACTGATCATCGCCCAAAAGTCTTTGGGGTCCTTCCCTGACCACTCAGTCTCTAACTCTTCTAGGGCCTCAGACAAATTTCTCGAACAAAGCGTCGGTGGGGCTAAAT